TCTGTTTCTCTGGTGTGGAAAGAACAAACCTGCTGATGGAATCTAGACTCCATCTTAGATGCAGGGGGTAAAAGTAGAAATGGTGGCCCACCCTCCCCATGGGGAGTCTCCAGACTCCTGCCAGTTAGTGCCAGAGCTGGAGTGGGGGTCTCCAACCCCCTTCCCACTCTCTTGTCCCCTGGGGTGGGGGTGGAGTCCTGAGATCCCAGCTCCCTGCCCCCAGCCTTTCTGTTCACAGCTAACTGGGCCACCTTATTCTAAAGGGATTTGACTCTCCGAGACAACTGGAGACTGGTGAGAAAGAGATTAGGGATTAGACAATGATACCCAGGAAGGTAAGGGACTTAATCAGGGGTTTGGGTGTGGAAAGCAAGGCTGGGAGAGGATTTGTGTTTTCACAAATCCTGGGTGGACTGCGGAAGTGAGAAGGAAGTGGATCTCCCAGGGAGGAGTGGTGAAGGTTCAGTTTCTCAACTCTCTTGTGCCTTCATAAACAACCCATGATTGTAAAGATAATAATCCCCCCCCCCCCCCCCATGCATCTACCACTTTTCCAGCCATTATGTTGCTTGGAATTCTCATAGTCCCCCTCAGGGAGAGAGGTAAGGATTAGTTTTCTCCCCAGGTTACAGGCACCCAGAGAAGGCAGGTGACCTGAGGCAGTTACAGTTCCATATGGCAGGGCTGGGAGGAGGGGAGGAGGCTCCAGTTGAGTCTGGGCCTTTCTGCCTGGCTGCGTCGAGAGCACAAGAGCTTTCCAGAAAGTTCTCCTGCCCTGGCCCCATGGAAGTAGAGTGTTCCACAAATATTTGTTGAAGAGTTTAAAAGACCGTTCTTTTTCACTCTCACTGTGCCAATCTGTGTGCCACCCGCTCTCACACTGGCATCACCTGATTTGAGGTCAGAGCATGGAGGAGGGGGCTTTGATCTTGAGGCCAATGCCCTCCTTTTAGTGAAGAGGATACAAAGGCCCAGAGGACACAGACAAGCAGCTCAAAGGGGACCTCACACAGAAGCAGTAGAAGGCTATTCAGCAACCAAGCACACATGTTGGTTGCTGAATAGTCACTGCAGAACATTAATTTCAAGAACAGTGCTAGGAGCTGTCTCCCCAAAGAATCAAAACCTCAGGCTCCTAACTTCCAAAACTTGGACTCTAACCTCCACGTTCCTCCTAAATCTCTATACTCCAACAGCCTCTTTTCAGTTGTTCACACTTTCCATGCTCCCCCCACCACAGTCCCAGCAAGGTATACTCTGGACCACATACCCTATTAGGGAAGCTTCTTACCTCTAGCCTGCCTGACCCAGGAGGCCAGGTTCTTTCTGTTGGGCCAGGCTGTCCCTTGATGGTCACCTCCACAATATAAAGGAGTCTGAATCAAAGTGAGGAGAGAGGGATTTCTGGATGGCAGAGGTCATTGGGTAGTTCAGGAAATTCCTACAAGCAGCAGAGCCTTGAGGAATGAGGAGGACAAGATAGGAGGAATAGGACGGAACACGAATTCTGACAAAGGAGGGCAAAGGTATGTTTGAGGGACAGCAGGGGAGCTTCTTTGACCAAAATTAAATTGTGTGGAAGGGATGCTGGGAAGAGATGGGAATAGGCCTTGAACACAAGTCCTTGGGACTAGGCTGACTTCTGAAGGAAGTGGGGACCCACTGAAGATTCTTGATCGGGGGAAGCAGAGAGGGAGAACTCTAGGGTAGGGGTTGGGGAATCGAGAAAAGGTGAGGGTAAAAGAGTCTCTTCTTCTCACTTGGAGCCAGGTTATTTATCGAGGATTGATATTATCAGCTTAACTAACCTTTTTCACAGTGGGCCAGACATAGGTAAGTCTTAGTGGAAGAAGGAGAAATGGGCAGCCACAGAACCTGAGAGGGGCAGATTGGAGGGAGAATTCTTTACTTAGGTTTTTATCTTGTTTAAGTGAGAAGCTAGATTTATTTGTAAGTGCATTGTGACCTGTAAAGCAATGGCCTAATATAAGGGGCTGTTCTGATGTTTTTCTTTGAGTGTGCCCTACCCTGTAAAGAACATCCTGCCCCTGGAAGGGTCTTAAATAAAGATCTTAACCATATATCCAGTAAGGAAAGCAGCTCTGCCCTGCCCCAAGCCAGAGGCCTACAACCTCTAATGAGGGCAGGGCTGCTGGAACTGCCTGAAGACTCTTGGCAGAGGTGGGATCAGGGACCTTCCAGCTCCTCCATCCTCACTCTGTGCCCCACAGCAGATCTCTATGGTAGAGGCCACACCAGGGGCAAAGTCCTTCCAAGTGTCTTTTTTTTTTTTTTTTAAAGAGAGAGAGAGAGAGAAAGATATTTTTTTTAGTATTTATTTTTTAGTTTTCAGGGGACACAACATCTTTGTTTGTATGTGGTGCTGAGGATCGAACCCGGGCCGCACGCATACCAGGCGAGCGCGCTACTGCTTGAGCCACATCCCCAGCCCATTCCAAGTGTCTTTTAAAGGGTCTGCTGCAGCCTGCCTCTGCCTTCTACTGCTTCTATGTGATGAGATATAAGGGGAGCATTCTACTTTCCATCTTCCTAAGCCTTGAGGTTTTTTTTTTATTTAAATTTTAATTTATTGTTTTTATATGTTATATTTTTATTTTTATTTATTTATTGTTGAAGGACCTTTTAATTTTATTTATTTATTTATATGTAGTGCTGAGAATTGAACCCAGTTCCTCACACATGCTAGGCAAGTGCTCTACCACTGAGCTACAACTCCTACCCCAAAAGCCTTGAATTTTGATGTAGCCAGGGCATGACTCTGGGAGATGAGATGGGATGATCATACACTCCTGGGTCTAGCTCTGTGGTAGTCCCAGGGAGGAAGGGAAACGTAGGACTGTGCTTCTTCTATATGCCAGGCACTGGGCACCCACATCTGTCATGCCAAACAACTTCAGGCACTCTTTGGACCTCAGTTTCCCTTGCTATTAAATGAATGGTCTTTGCTTATCTCTCCTTTACCAGTCCTATCCCCTGGCACTATATTGGCACTCATGTATTCAGCTTACATTTATTAACAATCACAGTACAAGGTACTGTGCACAGGCTGCAGGGCTTGTGGGGACTTATGTCAGTGAAACAGGGCTCTGTGCACAAGGACCTCATGGTACAGTATGGCAGATGCTATTAAACAAGGCCACATCAAGGATCTGAGGGTCCCCTGCCTACTCTTCTTTCTGCCTCCCTGGTTGTAGCCGTACTTCCAACCAACCACCACCAAAACAGTTCTTGCCACTATGCTGGCATGGAACGAATGAATCTCCCTTCCATGTCCCGTCCCAGCCCACATTTTAAGGCCCAAGTCAAATACCACTCCCTCCGCAAAGCCTTCTTGAATTCTTCAATCCAAAGCAAATTCTCAAGCCACATGGGTGCCATGTACCTGTAATCAGGGAGGCAGAAAGGTTGCAAGTTCAAGGCCAGCCTCTAGTAAGAGGCTATATCAAAAAAAAAAATGGGGAGGAGGGCTAAGGACATAGCTTGGTAGTAGAGCACTTGCCTAGCATGTACAAGTTCCTGGGTTTGATCCCAGCACTGCTAAAACAGAAATAAAAACAAAAAGCAAATTCTGCCCTATCTAAACTTCTAGACACTTGGTGCTTCTCCTAGGGACATTAATCTTGTTTTTGTATTCTAATTGTCAAGTATCATTTCTTATTGTTGGAAGGGCAGGATGGGGTCTGATTCACTTCTGGGTCCCAAAACAGTGTCTCTGGCCTGGCACACAGTAGAAGGAAAGAGTGACTTGAGGCATGTGACCAGGTACTACCACAGAGGTAGGATTAAAGTGACAGGGAACCCAGGGAGAGAGAGAAGGCTACTGAGTTCTGAAAGGAGGAACTGGCTTCATTGTGTGGGGAAGGGGAAATAACCAGAATGTAGCAGGACAGTCAGATGGCATAGGCTGGTCCACAGGCTGCTGGGCTGCAACTGCCAAGAGCATCCATCCCCAAAATCAGACTTGCCACTGTCCAGAAACCCACAGCTCTGGGAAGCAGATAAACTGATAACAGGTCTGCTTTCATTGGGCCACTGCTTTCACTGTGACTTCCTCTACAAAGCCTGGCCAGGTAGGCAGCAGAGGAAGGCTGTGTAGGGAGGACTAGGAAGTGGTTACAAGAAGCCAGCCCCATGCTAGGCACTACACAAAGTGAATTATATAGCTCCCTTTTGCCTCCTGCTGATTTCAAGTCGGGATTATCAACGCCCCCTCCCCACGCCAAGCCAGTTAGTGAATAAAGGAGCTGGAATTCAGAGAGGCAAAATCGCTTGCTGATGAAATCTCATAAAAAGTGGAGCATTTGGAATTCAAACCTAAGTCTTTTGATTTCCAGAAAGGAAGCACTCCTCCACACCAGCTGAGGTGTGAGCCCTCAGGCAGAAAGCAGGGAAGGTTAGAAGCAGAGGACAGGACCCAGGGTGAGGAGACGCTAAACCGTGCTTCCTTGATCCTCAATCTGGCCCCCATATTCTTCCTCCTACCTGCCCTACAGGTGGAAGGAAAAGGCTGTCGCCGCTGTAAGGCCCCAATCTGGGCGGACAGCAGTGGTTCTAAATGGATGGCAGGACAGGTGGAAGAAAGTGCCCCAGAAAAGACCCGCCAATACCACAGTTCCCGGAAGCTAGGTTCTAGGGACATCGCTCCTCATAAATGCACCAGGCGGTTCTCTACCGTCATGTGCGGAGGAAAGGAGCGGCGAGGTCCTGCGCTGAGAGAGATCTGACCTTAGAAGAGGTCATTAGCAACTTTCAATCTCCTTGTTCCGATGGGGAGAGTGGCCCAGGGAGCCTCAGTGTCTATCTAGGGTCACACTGAAACCTAAGGGTAAAATTTGGGACTGAATCCCAGACATCCTAGTCGTCTGATGCCCACTGGCCACAATCCGGGTGGGCAATCGGGTTCGCTTCCCGCGCCTGGCTCGGATTCCTGAGGAGGCAGCGGGCACGCGTTAGAGCCTCTAGCGACTCCGCGCGTCCCTCCCTACCCCGCCCCTCGGGATCCTTTAAGAGGCGGGGCTTGGTCGCCGGCCCCGCGGCCCCAGCAAAAGGCTGGGACTTTACTCCGGCGGCGGCGAACGAGTCCGTGCTCCATCAGCTGCCGCAACCGCCGCGCCCCGAGCCTGAGCCAGGATGAGCGGCAGAGTCGGTGATCTGAGCCCCAAACAGAAAGAGGCACTAGCCAAGGTGAGCCGTCTGCCTGGCCCGGGCCCCTGCTCGGGGCTGTGGCTCTCTTCCTCGGGTGAGAAGAGACTGGTTGAGTGGTGAGGGACTGTCCCGGCGGGAGGGCGGCGGAGGGAGCAGCAGCCGGCCGCCCCCGCTTGGCCGGTACCCAGCTGACGGCTCTTCCCTCTTTCAGTTTGCCTGGGGACCCTAGGAAGTTTGGTCACCCCGGCCCCAGCTCGGAGCAGCCCTGGCGGTGCCACCTGGGAAGAAGTGGTTGCTTGGAAGCCCTTGGAGGCTGCTGAGGGCACAAAGGCAACATTCATCCTCGGGGCTGGCAGGCACTGGCAGCCGGGCCCTGGGACAGGGGCAGGGCCCCAGGTTTTCTCCTATTTCCGGGAGATTTTCCTCTTGCCCAGGCAGTGGCAGATGAAAAGGGTCCTGGACAGCTCCTTAGGATACTCTGGTACCCCTTGCTCAGGACCAAATCTCTGTGCGACCTTGGGCAAAGCCCGGTCCTTCTCTGGTTGCTCCTGGTTGGACCAGCTGATGTTGAAGATAGTACATCTATATCTAAGATCCCTTCCTAGGACGCACTGTGTTGGGTTTAGTTTGAGCCAAGACCAACCCTCTCCTGTGTTGCAACCCAGATCCCTTCTTGATTGGAGACCTAGGTTGATATTCCTCAGAAGGCAAGGAGGTGAACCTGGCCAGAGGAGGGGGCTACAGTTCAAGGTCTGCCCCCCCCCCCTTCCCCACCAGTTGAATCTCCTTATCTCTGTTACCTTTGGGGAGAGGGGTGGTCTTCTCAGGGCCTCATCTGGGTCCAGCCCCAAGGTTTGGAGGTTCCATGGGTGGGCAGTTTTCCATTGCTTGGGTGCAGGGAGAGGATGCCCCATGCTGTGGCAGTAATAGGAAGACATTGGCTCCATGAAGAATTTTTCCAGGCTGGGTCTCCCCCATCCCAGGAAGGTGGGATAGGGAGACTTCAGATTTTACTGCTGACTTGCAGGGAACAAATAAGGTATGATTATACTGGAAACCAGGGGCTGGGTAGGGTCATTGGTGGGGGATGGCTTTATGCCTGAAGTTTGAATGAGTAGTGACCCTGGAACATTAGGAGCTGCTTTGGGGGTTGGGATAGTTTCAATCCTGGCTGACCTAGGCAAGGGGCAGAGGTGGCTGGTCCTCATTGGTCCCCTCTGTATGTCAGTGACCAGGGAAAGGTGAATGGCTGAACTGGAGGCTTGGGGAGGGTGCATGGGGGCCTGCTCACCTACAAGGTAATGAGAGATTGTAGGTGGGTGTGGCTATCCCTTAGGGTCACTGTCCACCTCTCTTGTTTGACTGCACTTTCCCCCTTCATGGCTTCCTGCTGAAACTGTTCTATCCACCTGGCTTGCCCACTCCCTTCCCTCTGCTTCTTTCCAATTCCTTCAAGCCCAGCTTAAATGCTATTTTTTTTTACATGAAGTCATATGAGACCCCCCTTTTCCTTCCCTTTGCTGCCTAGCACAATGCTCACCTATTACCAATGGGACAAGAGACCTTGGTGAAAGGAGTATGTGCTCTGGACTCTGGACAGGCCCAGATGTGTATCCTAGGTCTGTTTATTACTAATTGTTTGAACCTGGACATGTTACTTAGCCTCTCTGAGCTCTTATTCCTTCATCTGTAAAATGGGGACAGTGATACCCCCAGAGGCTTAAAGTGAGGAGTAGATAAGATACAGTGCCAGTGCCTGCTACTGCACCTGGTCAGGCAAGGCAGAGAGCCCCAGGGGCCCAGGTACTCAGACAGTTTCTATAACATTGAACAATGTAACAGAGGGGTCCAGCAAAGTCCCCTGTGGAGAGTCCCTGGCAGAGGGTGGTCAGAGTGGGACCTACCATTCACCCAAGCTGCCTCTCCCTACAGTTTCGGGAGAATGTCCAGGACGTGCTGCCTGCCCTGCCGAATCCAGATGACTATTTTCTTCTGCGCTGGCTCCGAGGTGAGGGAAGAGGGGCTGTGGGAGGCTGAGGCAAGAGTGCATTCTGGGAAACAGAATGACCACCTCTGGGAACCCTGCCCCTGGCAATCGAGAATTTGGGGGTGTTCAGGCTTTAGAATAAAATAGTACTTGGCAATTACAAAACCTCAAACTTTCTCTTGGTAGGTAAAGACACTAAGGCTCAGAGAGGCAAAGTGACTTGCTCCAAGTCACACTATGGGTGAGCTGCAGGCAGAGACAAGACTGGAGTCCCAGTCTGCTTACTGTCAGGCCAGTGTCCTTTCTGTCTACTACATAAATCTGTTCTGCTGATCTATTGGAGGAAGCAAAGTGAGGAAAAGTGAGGAGGGCCCCACCAAGTGAGAAGTCAGAGGCAGAGGTGAGGTTAGAACCAGAGTCCTGGTCCCTGGGAGAGGCTGGCCCTCTCTGGGCCCTGTCAGATGACAAAGCCTCTGCTGCCAGCGGTTCAGGCAACTTGAAGTGGAAGTGTGCATGGGGAATGTGAGGGGCTCAGCTCAACTTGAATAGACAAGATTTCTCAAATCCCTGCCAGGTGCCAGGGCCCCAAGTTATAGTTCCAGCTCTGCTCTGGCCTGGCTGTGGCATCTGAGTCAAAGTCTCACTTCTTTCCTAAGAGATCTTCCCCTGGGAGAACAGGACAAGACAGGGTGCCCTGCCTGGTGCAAGATACGACACAACAGAGCTCTGCATTTAATGATGACCTGTACAAGCTGCTACTAACATCAAGGTCAAACTTGATCCTGTTCTCTCTCACTCCTAAAACCTTTCTGTTCATTTCCCTCTTCTCCTCTCCTGTGAGTCGAGACATGTGCCACCCTCCCCAGTTCTTCTGACACACTTTTTTTTTCTTTATAGAGACTTTATTACTGGAAATAAAAATAACAAAGAAAATACCACTGTATTAAATTAACGAGCTTAAGATGTGATGTAGAATCATATCCCCAAATATTAAAGTATAAATCATATCTTATTATTTGCTTGAGGACACACACACACACACACACACACACACACACCTACATGCCCAGTAGTGTGGGACAGGTGAAAATATGTAGTTTCCTTTTATGTGTGTGTGTTACTAGGAATTGAACCCAGGGCACTTTACCATTAAGCTAAATTCCCATTCCTTTAAAACATTTTTTTGTTGTTGTTGTTTTGTTTTGTTTTTAATTTTGAGACAGCGTCTTGCTAAGTTCTGAGGGGCTGGCTTTGAATTTTCAATCCTCATGCTTCAGCTTCCCAAGTTGCTGTAGTTTCTTTTTTTGTCCCCAGAAATTTAGTGGAGCTAGTATGCTCTTGCAGGTCTGCTAGCAAACACTGACGGTAGGAGCATCCAGGAGAGCCACATGGGGCCTTGGGTGCCACTGGAAGTGTCACTTGCCCATTTCCCCCAAAAGATGTGATCCTGTGTTCCCAGCCCACCCAGAGAGGGTGGAGGGGCAGTGTGGAGGTGGCAGTGGAGTTAGTCCAGGCTGGAGGAAATTTTGGCCTAGCATTTGCTGAAGGGCTGAAGCTAGAAGCAGGTGGGTGGAGAGAGTGGGAAGACAGTGGCCTCCTTAAAGGGCCAGCTGCAAGACGATCAAACCAAGCTGCTAGGAGGAGGGAAGTGTGGTTTCAGAGAGCCTCTAAAGAGTTCTGTAGATCTCTTTTGTCTAGGAAGAATGGTGGGGTCCTGGCAGCTGGTCTCTCAAACACCTAACCCCACTTCTCCTGAGTCCTGAGATAACCTTTTTTGCATAAGGCTTGATAGTTCACCAAGTACCCATATCAGGCACCACACCACCTTCACACTCACAGGGGTATCAAAGAGTGTGGTCATCCTCATTTGCCAGAGGAGGAAACTTAGTTTCAAAGAGGGAAGGGGATTTACCTGAAGGTACACAGCTATTGCAAAGCAGAATCAGGGCAGAAACTCCAGATTCTCAGACAGCGCCCTTTCCAGTAAGCCTCAGCATCCTTTCCAGTAAGCCACGGCTGCTCCTGTAGCCAAGCTTTGCTTCTAAAACAGTTTGAAAGTGTCTCTTCTACATTTTACTTGTGGCTCACATTTCCTGGGCAAGAGTTCAGGCTTGGTCAGACCCTATTATGAATTCCAATTAGGGTTTTTGTTGACTTAAAAAAAAAAAAAAAAAACCCTTTTCCCTTTCTCCCTTTGATTCTAAAGGAGACTTTTGTAAACTGCACACCAGCATCATGTCTTTCTCTAACCCAGGTGTGAGGTTGGGGTTCAGTTTTCTGTTGGCTCCCAGGCATGTGAACAGTTATACAAGTCCCCACTGAACCCCTACCTCTGGCTGCGGCTGAGCTCTGGGCACCCAGCAAGAAGAGTTAGATAGCAAGATGAAGAGGTGGTGGAAACTCTGAGAACACATTTGACAAACTGGAAATTATCCAAAGGGAAGTTACGAGGATGGTCTTGGAACTGATTGTGAGGAATAGTGAAAGGCTCCAAGGATGTACAGCATGATATTAGCACATTTTACAGGGTTGGGTTCTCTTGCAGTGCCATGGCTTTAAGCTGCCACTGACCAGGGCAGCAAGAGCCCAGCGAGATCTGACTGAGCAGAAATGGGGAGGCACCAGGTAGAGTGCTGTCAGAAGCAAGTAGCAACTCAGACCCTGGATGTTGGACCTTGATAGATAAGGGTTAACTAGAGAGCTTACTCCCACCCAGATCTGGGGTTCACCATTTGCTGCCACCCTGCCTCTGTTCTTTAGGAAGATAAGGGCTTTCCTTTAGGAGTGTGCCCTTTCTGTGGAAGATTCCCAGCTTCTCTTTACTGCTTCCTAGTTCAGATGATTGGGTCAGAGATGTATCTTGTCCAAGGTCAAACAGAGAAGGTAGAAGAGCTGGGATGCAAATCTGCATTGTATTCCTGTGCAAGCTACTCTAGGTTGCTGAATTGCACTGAAAGGGTGGTAGTTGAGAGGAACTTCCCAAGACCAGTTTCTGAGAGTGGCTGTTCAGTTCTAGCAGTGTGTGTCCAGCACATGTGATGGGAGTGGCACTGGTCAAACCTCATGATGCAGCTTCTGGGCCCAGGAGAGAGGAATGGATTTCACGACAGCAAAGTCAGGGAATGTATTCGTCCTAGAGAGTGATATGAAGGGACTAGTGACAGCCCAGGGAGCAGCCTTTCTGGCCCAGGTTCCAGGGTTCTCAGCTGATCTGGATACCAAACAAATCCATGAAGGATGTACAGCTTGGGGCTGAGGGTGTACAGTTCATAGATCAGATGGTCAAATTGGCCAGAATCTGGATCTTAGAAAATTTTCAAAGGTTGGAATGAAGCTGGCTGTACCAAGATGAAACTTGATAGCGATGGATCTCTATGTATGGGATAAAAGCTTAACAGCACAGGTGCAAAGGATTTGCAGCTTTTGGTTGACTCAAAGTTCTGCCTGGGTTAAGGGCGGGACTGTTGTCAAGAAAATTCTTAGGCTTTATTGGAGAAGGCATATAACACCTGGGGCTATGCTTGGCTCTGAACAGCACACTTTAAGAGGTACGTTGACAAACTGGAAATCATCCAAAGGGAAGTTACGAGGATGGTCTTGGAACTGATTGTGAGGAATAGTGAAAGGCTCCAAGGATGTACAGCATGATATTAGCACAGATCCAGGTTGACAGCACAGAATTTTCTAGTATCAGAAGGGTTATCATGTGACTAAAGAAGCAACCCTGTCCTCTGAGTGTCTCAGGAGTGGATCTCCACTCAGTATGAGAAGTGCAGATGGAAGCTCTAATTAGTTGGGAGCAAGTGGCCTTGAGGGACAGTGAGGTCTTTGTGTTCAAACTTGAGCAGGACAACTTGTTGGGGTTCATACATAAATAAAGTGTTGGCTCAGGTGAATTTTAATTCAGAAACTTTTCAGGAACTCTTTGTGCTCCTTTAAGGTATGTGTGGGTCCTTTAAGCACATGAGAAGATCGACTGGAGGCGTATTGACTCCTCTACCTCACTGGGGTGTTCTGCCAGTTTCATCCCAGATTACAGGGCAACTATGTTCATCTTTGAACTGTGGGTCAACTTCTCAGGGTTGGATGTTAGACTAGAGGAGATAAAGTTTCTCCATGTAAGGGGGAAGGCCAAATGATAAGGGGGTCCAGGGTTCACTTTCCCTGAGAAGAGATAAGACCCTTCACCTGATTACATCCACTGGGGTAGAACTCTTTTGACCCTGAGGTTGCAATCCTATCCCCAGCTTCCCTAAACTTGACCTGCACTCCCCACAGAACCAGGGGCTGTGGTGTTCCAGAAGCCCTCAGGGAAGTCTTCATATTGGCTTCTGCATGTGGGATGATCTTCCAGGCAGCTGGGGAGAACACCCTAGAGGAGTTGGTCCCAGGATGGGAACAGGAAGTTTCTCCATCCTTGGGCACCCAGACTGCTGGCCTAATTGTGACTGTGTTTCTCTATTATAGCAAGAAGCTTCGACCTGCAGAAGTCAGAGGCTATGCTCCGGAAGGTGAGATCCATTTGGCTCGAAATCCCACTGTTGCCTCCTCCCCATCAGAATCACACCTTGCCTGGATTTCCTTTTGCCCACCCCCACCTACTATGATCACAGTCTTTTGCTTGTGTAACATATCTGAGTTTTAGCCGATCACTGTCGCATTATCCCTCTGGGACAAAGTGCATTCCTTTCTTTGGATCTGCAGAGCTTTCCTAGTTCCAGGCCAGGCAAGAATGCTAATCTGTTCAGCTGAGACCTCTGAAACAGGCAGGGCCTTCTTTTCCATTTCATGCTGTCACTTATTGTTAGATGCATATTAAGAACCCCTTCTTACCCCTCCTCCCCACTTCCTACTTTAAAATCTCTGATTGTATGTTTGTAGCATGTGGAGTTCCGAAAGCAAAAGGACATTGACAACATCATTAGCTGGCAGCCTCCAGAGGTGAGGATACATTAGCTTGCTCCATTTCAATGCTAGAACAATAGACCCACAGCCAGTGTCCTGGGTTTATGGACTGGGATCCTCAGAGGAAAGGTATGACAATGCCAAGGGAGCCATGATGGTTTCCAGAGTGGGTATCCATTGGCATCCAGGGAGGGATGAGGAGGGAGAGACTAAGGAACCCAAAGTAAAGCTCTGCCATCCAGGGAAGGTAGGGATGCCCTGGTCTTCCCAGATACTACCTCCTCACTTAGATGTCTTTGCTCAGGTGATCCAACAGTATCTGTCAGGGGGCAGGTGTGGCTATGACCTGGAGGGCTGCCCTGTCTGGTACGATATCATTGGGCCTCTGGATGCCAAGGGTCTGCTGTTGTCAGCCACCAAACAGGACTTGCTCAGGACCAAGATGCGGGACTGTGAGCTGCTTTTACAGGAGTGTGCCCACCAGAGCACAAAGGTGAGTGATCTGCTGTTGTCCAGAATAAGTTGACCCTGTGGAAGCATTCAAACTGAAGCAAGGATGTCACACAGGGATGGAAGTACAGCCTCAGGGCTGAGGACCAGGCTTTTGGATTTCATAGATCAGTAAAGTCTCAGAATTTTAGAAACTGATATAATATTGCCAGTTTTTGTTGTGCTGGAGATTGAACCCAGGGCCTTACATATGCTAAATAAGTGCTCTTACCAGTGAACTACAACCCCAGCCTGACAAATTTTTGTTTTGCCAAATAAGGTAATCCATTATTGGACAAGTATTGGGGCACCATTGGTGTTGATGAGCTCAGATTCTGTGCTTGTCTAACTGAATTCAAAAGAGATCAGGACTCCTGAATCCGTACTGAGAAAAAGACGGAGAAACAATCTGGAGCTGCCATCCTGGTCTACCTCCTTCCAACAGTTGTAAAGATCTAATGAAACAATATGATAACATTTAGGGACATTTCAGTACTGTCATCTTCAAATGTTCACAGAGAGGCTACTGGGTGCAGAGACCCCAAGGGGCTGGAGATGCAGGAGACATTCAACCTACATTTTCCCTTAAGGGCTTAGAGTGGACAGATCATCTGTACCTGCTCGAGAATTGACTGCACAGGTGCCTCGTGGGTGCTGCCCAGAGATCACATGGTGATTCAAAGGAAGAGAGGCTGCCAGGCAACCTTCAGGACAAAGGGACCTCAGATGTAATCTAGATCCACCCAGTCGTTTACCACTTGAGAACATGGAGACCTAGGCAGGGGGAACCACTTGCTTAGGCCACAATTCCAGCATGGGGTGGTTAATTCTATTTGGAAAACCCTGGGCCCAGCCCAGACGAGATGTAGTTGTTCGGTGGGTACATGGTGCAATCAGCATTTGCCCTGAACAGGGCTGGGCTTCTGCACTGGGGCAGCCTAATGTGACTTTCTGCTGTCTGTTCCCTGTAGTTGGGGAAGAAAATAGAGACCATCACCATGATTTATGACTGTGAGGGGCTGGGCCTCAAGCATCTCTGGAAACCTGCAGTGGAAGCTTATGGAGAGGTAAGGGAGTCGGAGTGGGATCCTCATCTAGGTTGCCCTGTGGGATGGGTGCAGCCATGGGGGCAGATTATGGTCTGGAGGAAGCAGGGCTTCTCTCCCTGGCACAAAAGCCTGAGCCTGCTGGAACCAGTGATTTTTTGTTTCTACAGTTTCTCTGCATGTTTGAGGAAAATTATCCTGAAACACTGAAGCGTCTATTTGTTGTTAAAGGTAAGTAGGGCTGGGTGCGGTGGCACACACACCTGTAATCCCAGTGGCTCAGGAGGCTGAGACAGAAGGATCATGAGGTCAGAGCCAGCCTCAGTCATTTGGCAAGGCTCTAAGCAACTCAGCAAAACACTGTCTCTAAATAAATACAAAAAAAAGGGGCTGGGATGTGGCTCAGTGGTTAAGCGCCCCTGGGTCCAATTCCTAGTACCAAAAAAATTAATAAATAAAAGTAAGTTGGGAATTTCCAGTGAGAAGTCAAATAGGAAAGGGGGCCAAAAACATTACTTGGAGGCAGATTGAAAAAAGCAAAACAAGGAGACAAAGGAGGGGCCCAAGATCATGTTCCAAAGGTTGGTGTTGACATATCAGATGCTTTCCAATGTGCAGAGCTTTTAGTTTTTATCACCTCCTTTGGAGTTGTCTATCCTAATGAGATAGGAAGGGATCATTTAACTAGATCCAAGGATGGGGAGGCTGAACTTCAAACAGGTGCCCACACTGAGCCTCATACCCTGGGCAGCTGATGTGCACTCCATAGCACCAGGGATGTGTGGCCCAGCATGGGGTAGGGGTGCTGCAGAGAGGTGGGCTACAGATGACACCGTTAGGGATTGACTGAACATTGCCCCCAGCCTCACATGGTCTGGTCTCTGTTCTAGCCCCCAAGCTGTTTCCTGTGGCCTATAATCTCATCAAACCCTTCCTGAGTGAGGACACTCGGAAGAAAATCATGGTCCTTGGAGGTGAGTGGCTCAGACTCTTCTCAACTCCACAGATTGGTCTGTGACCCGAATTGGGTCAGGTTTCCCAGGTATAGCCATGGCTGCCAGGGTGAAGGCTTGGGAGCAGTGGGACCCAGGTGCAAGGAGGGACAGACCTGGGGTCTTCCTGTCAGTCTTCATAAGAACTCTTTTTCTCAGATACTCTAGAAGCAAACACTGGGCTCACAATCACAGATTCATAGATGAAAGAAACTCTAGTCCTTGCCCTTAAGACATTCATGTATTATGGGAGAAAGGCGACCTATAGAGAGAAAGCTAAGATACAAACTAGAAGATACTAGAAAACACATTGAGAAGGTGCCATGGAGATTAGAAGAGCAAGGTTTTGCTTTTAGTTGGGGGCAACTAGGAGTGGCTTCATGTGACAAGCATCTTCTCATGTGCCAGGCCCTGGGCTAGGTGCCAGGATCCAAAGATGAAAAAGACAGAGTCCCTTGAAGAACTCTGAGGGAAGGGAGACACAAACAGATGTTTATCAGCACAATATGGTAAATGGAAGAAAAGGGAAACCACAAAGTGTACTGGAGCTGAGCAGGGTTACCGGCTCCACTTAAGCTGGGGAGGAGGTGATGCCCATCTGAACTACACACTGTGGGATGAGTAAGAGTGGGCTGCGTGCAACAAGGCAGGAAGCTGCTTGGCAGAAAGTAGGCATTGAGCAAAGACCTTCTGGTGTGGCACAGGCAGTTGTTATTAAACACAAGACAGGGTGTGGCAAGAGGTGAGGCTGGAGAGCCAGGAGCCAGGTTGCAGATGCAGGGTACTATGTTGAGAAGCTGGGACATAACTGTATAGGCCCCTATCATCAGATTTTAAACTGATGTATGGCAAGATTGTGAAGAACTGATGCCAGTTTGCAAACTGTTGCCACAGTCCATGCAGGAGGTATTGCAAGTATGAACTGGGGCAGCAGTGGTCAGGATAAGAGAAGAAGGTGGATTTAGGCTTATTTAGGAAGTAAAAGAGCAGAAGTCAAGTTGACTGAATGTAGGAGATAAGAGAGAAAGAGAAATCCAGAATGACTTCTTGGTATCTGGCATAAATGACAGAGTAGATGGTGATGCTAAATTAGTTCAACAGAGGAAAACAACTGGTAGAAATTTGAATGAGCTTGGGGTTAAGCCTGAAGAGTCTGCGAGATCTACAGATGTTGGGAACACATGTGCCTGAAGCTTAGGTGAGAACTTCAGTCTGGAAATTTGGGAATTATCAAATAACGGTGGTAGCTAAAACCTTGAAGTAGGTAAGATGCCAAGGGAAGAGCAGAGGCTGAACCTTGGGGGAATATCCAAATTCAAGAGCAGGCAGAGGAAGAAGTGCCCACCAGGGAGACTGAGAAGAAGTGATTAATGTTGTTGGCAGAGAAGCAGGCCAACAGGGATTGAATATGCAGAGAAGCAGGGAGAACATAGGGTCACACGGAAAAGCAAGACCCAAAACCCACAAAGAGGATGCACAGGAATCAAGCCAGCCAGGGATGGGTACTTCTGCTTTCCGGAGCAGGAAGTGGAGTGGTGGGAAAAAGAACTAGAAAGGTAGATCACCACAGCTCAAGGAAGGTTTGATGCCACCTGTGCGAAACTGGGCCTAGGTAATAGGGATTATGAAGGTTTCTGAATGTTCCCCTTTATGTGATTTTACAAGTGATGATTTTCCAAACATGCTAGGGAGATGGGAGCATGTATGATATTGCCAGGGAAGTGCAGGATTTCTGGGTTCAGTGACAGATTCTGTTTCTTGTTGCCTCAGTTACTCCCTCTGTAAGATGGGATGAATGGTCCTGGACTTATCCCAACTCTCCAGCTGAACTGGGGGAAGAAATGAAAATTCGGAGCAAAAGGCTTTTATGATTTTTGGTTTATCTGCTGCTACCACCCACCATGTGCATGAGACGGTTTGGTTTCCTGGCAGCTGAACTATGTAGGAGGCTCAGTCTGTTCTCCCTCCCACACCTAAAATTCTTTTAACCAAACCCGCCTCAGGCTGGGAAGGTACAGGATCTTCATCGAAGGAGGGATGAAATTCACTCCAGGCTGGTCACTGGAGCTTAGCAGTGCAGCTTAAATCACTTTAAAACCACAGACATTATGTTCCCAGAAGTTGCCTGGTCTTGGGTCCTAAAAATTGAAGGACTGGGAAGACCATGGACAGTCTGTGGGTTTCTTTTTCTTTATATTTTTTGCTACAGGGGATTGAACTAAGGGGTGCTCTACCATTGAGCTACATTCCCAGCCCTTCTTATTTATTTTTTAAATTTTGAGATAGGATCTCAGTAAGTTGCTAAGGCTGGCCTTGAACTTGGGATCCTCCTGCCCCAGCCTCCCAGATTGCTGGGATTACAGGCATGTGCCGCCATGTCCCTGTAGGGTTTCAGTCAGCATTACACAGAAGACACTAGGCTATCCCCCATGGCATGGAGTTGCTGCCTATATATGGTCTATATAGTTAGCACCAAAAGGTTTCAGTATCAAAACATTGTACTTGGCTATCTATATTCCTTCACAAATTTGAATTGCTGGAGATGGGTTCTCAGTACTGGCCGCACTAGAATCAAGCACAGGGGTTCAGAATGTCTTCTAGTCAGGAGATGGCTTGGTTATAAAAAGCAGCCAAAATAGCTCAAAACAACTGGTGCAGGAGTGAATTTGGGGCTTGGGTAAAGCCAAGGGAAACTATTTAAGGGAGCACTGTACAGTGGGTTCATTTAGTAAGTCACAATTGAGTACAATTACATATAGGGTAAGTGCAGTCTTCTATCTTATCAGGGTAGACCAGACCTTCCTGTCTGCTGCACATGCTGTTCCCTTTGCATGGAACACCCATCCCCACTTTGTCTGCCCTCCTCCTGCTTATACTTTAATGTTTGTACCACCTTCCTTGGGGGTGATAGTATATTCTGTTTAGTGTAGGGCACCTTAATGCCCTCTCAAATATACTTAGGTCATTTCTGCCACAACCTGTAGGGCAGGAAGAACTAGCTTGAATGAACTGACTTTCTAAGTTGCTCGGCTGTCAGAGGATAGCAAACCAGATCTCCCAATTCCTGGTCCAGGACAGAATCCTTTCTCTGGGAGATGGCTGTTCCTAACTCCCCTGCAAGTACTGTGTACACATCATATCCTCCTAATACCCATCTTCATAGGGAAAGAGACAGGGACAGTTTTATTTTCTGTCACTTTAGTATAAACCTTCAGGGCTGTGGTGAAATCTTGCCTAATAGTGACATGTCTCATTCTTCCCTCTCTTGCCAGCAAACTGGAAGGAGATTCTACTGAAACATATCAGCCCTGACCAGTTGCCTGTGGAATATGGGGGCACCATGACTGACCCTGATGGAAATCCCAAATGCAAATCCAAGGTGAGAGCCATCAGGGGCTGGAGGTGAACAGGGAAGCCTGACTTAAATGTACATTCCAGTTCATTCTGTGCTCTGCTTTTAGATCAACTATGGGGGTGACATCCCCAAGAAGTATCATGTGCGAGACCAGGTGAAGCAGCAATATGAACACAGTGTGCAGATTTCTCGTGGCTCCTCCCATCAAGTGGAGTATGAGATCCTCTTTCCAGGCTGCGTCCTCAGGTAGGACCTGGCCCTTCCAGGAGACCTGTAGGTGCTAGTCGGTGGGCTGTAGTGGGAAAAAAATCCCTGGTGCCAGAGAGATGCACATACAGATAGAATTTTGTCTAAATGAGTGGGTTTCTCCTGCAGGTGGCAGTTTATGTCAGAGGGAGCAGATGTTGGTTTTGGGATTTTCCTAAAGACCAAGATGGGGGAGCGACAGCGGGCAGGAGAGATGACAGAGGTGCTGCCTAACCAGAGGTACAACTCCCACCTGGTCCCTGAGGATGGGACCCTCACCTGCAGTGATCCTGGCATTTGTAAGTATATCTATCTTAGCAATGCCTTGAAGCCTCTATCCAGCTCTCTGCCTGTGAGTCCCTTCTTATTCCATGGATTTGGGCTCTCAAAGAGTTTGAGTGGGAAGTAGAATCCCATGAGCAGCCCTCTCCTTGCATAGATGAGAAACTGTGACTTGGAGAGGTACAATGACTTGCTCAAGGTGACTCAGCTGGTTAGAAATAGGAAGGGACTCTTCCAGGTATAGGTGAGTCACAGTGTAGGTAAGCACAGGGGTTCAGAATGTCTGCTTTGGGGTCTGAGTCTGTGACCGTAGCCAGACATTTCTTGAGGATGCTCTTCCCCCACAGGCCAGAGAGGCAGAACTGCCTGGATAGGTATAGAGATCAGAGGTTTAGCAGTGTGCTGAAGAAAGCTCAGCCTTGACCCTTCTGAGTGCCACTCATGTCCAATTGATCAAAGAACAGACACAGAATGTGAACAGGCAGTTTACACATGAAGAAATAAGATGGCAAACAGACATTTGAAAAAGTGTTTAACCTCTCTTGACTTTGAAGTATTGATTAAAACTTCCTTTGACTCAGCAGTTCTACTTCTGGAAACATATCCTACAGAAATATTTACACAAATACACAAACAGAGAGGGAGTAGGATGTTCCACGCAGCCTAGAAAACTGGCAATAAACCAAATGGCCATAAAAAGGTCTTGTTAAATAAATTATAGTTCATTTATACATTGGAATATCATATAGACATCAAAGAGAATAAATTGACATGTAAAATGTCTGATACTTATTAAATGAAACCCAGAATGTATGGTATACACTAACATTGTTTTTTAAAAAAAGTGAGTACACAGAAAAGAATTCTGGGGAGTCTATGCTAAATCTAATAGTGATTATCTCAGGAGAGGAAGGATGATTAAGCTCCCTTGAGATAACCCTTATTAAAGTTAGCATTAGAGTTAGGGCTTTCATTTTTTCCACTATTTCTACAAAATAATGTGCTTTCCAGTGACAGTGCAGTACATTTATGAGCATGTGTGCACACACAAACACAACCAAATTCCCAGTTTCCTTTCTGACAGAGTCAGGGGGCTAAGAGTGGAAAATCAATGAGCAAGGCCTGGCTCTATGATCAGACCTGAATTGGACTGGACTACTGGCTGACTGCCTGGCCTTAGGCTAGTGACTTAACCTCCCTGAGTTTCAATTTCTTGATTGCTACAAGGGGTATCTTATAGGGATACCAGATGTGATAAGATTTGTGGGGCACTTACCGAAATGCCTGGCATAGAGCAAGCACTCAATACTCTGTGGCCAGCATTATTATTTTTAGGGCAGTTGTGGGAGCAGGGCCATCCTGAAGATTATGCTGCAAAGATGGGAGAAGCCCAGTGGCACATCTCTTTTTTCTTTATTTCTCTCTCTCTCTCTCTCTCTCTGTCTTTTTTCTTTTTTTTTTTGGTTTGGTAATACAGATTGAACCTAGGGGCACTTAACAACTGAGTCACATCCCTATCCCTTTATTTTTTATTTGGAGACAGTCTCGCTAAGTTGCTGAGGCTGGCTTTGAACTTGTGATTCTCCTGCCTCAGCCTCTCAAGTTGCTGGGGCAAGTGCCACTATGCCCTGCCCTGACCTCTTTCTTTCTTTCTTTTTCTTCTTTTCCTTTTTTTTTTTTTTGTGTGTGTGTGGTACACTGGGAATTGAATCTAGGGGCACTCTACCACTAAGCTATGTCCCTAGCTCTTTGAAAATTTTATTTTGAGACAGCATCTCACTAAATTGCCCAGATAGTCCTTGAATTTGCAATCCTCCTGCTTCAGCCTCCAGAGTAGCCGGGATTATATACCACCATATCTATCCCTGTAGCCCATTTCTAAGGAGCACCACCAGGAGGTCTGAACTAGCTCCACAGATGTTTCAGCCTCTGTGCTTATCCAACCATCACCTAGTCTGTAGTTCTGTCTCATTTCTCACATCTCAGGCAACCTCAGTCTCTACTGCCCCCTCCTCACAGATGCTCTGTGGCACAATATGGCTCCCCATGGAGTGGGGAGTATTCTTGTTAATAAGCAGCTTGGTCCAGGGGGAGAGGGTGTATACTATTGCTTCAGCAAGAACAAGATTAGCACCAGCCCAGATACTGTCACCCACAAAGGATAAACTTCTTTGTACGTACAAGCTTGAATTTCTTTTTTTAAAGGATGGGAAAGATAAGGTATAGAGAAGGGGTGCTCTCTCTCCAACAAAGTAACTTATGTAGAGAGCAAGAAACTCTCTAGAATCCTACTCCATGATTTCTTGAATATAGACTGTCCTAGAGATGATCAGGACATCTCTTTGATGTGATGATGGAGAGAGTGGAGTCCCAGACCAGGAAAATAATTTCTTTGTCATAGATCCATTAGGGGAGCCCTAACCTATTTTCTAGCATTGACCATTAGCCCTCTGTCTCTTCCTTAGTAGCTGAAGGGCAACACAGCCTGAGAAGGGTCTGTGAACCTTTAACATAATCAGACTTTGGTTTACAAATCCCAAATTTATTATAGCTCCTCTTGGATACATTCCTGATAGGAACATATCTGGAACCCTGTGCCTATAGGGCCTCGCTTGGGATCTGTGAATCACCCATTCCCAGGAAAGGCATCCATTCTGCCTTCCCAGGTAAAAAGACAATGAGGTGGGATTAGTGGCTCAGGTTAGTCCCAAGCCCAGAGAATCCAGTGTTGGGTCATAAACTCATCTGTGGTAAGTAAGTGCCCTCAGAGAATCAGAAGATCCCCTGCAATGTGTAACACAATCATCCAGTGGAGAAATTAAACCTCTGAGTGCCCAGCCTCCAATGGCTGGAACACATTAACCTTCACTGGGCTTTTCTGGTCCTTGTCCAGGTGTACTAAATTATTGCCGAGGGGACCAAAGTTTGAACTGATTTAACGTTTTTTTTTGTTCTCACCTAATATTTACCGAGGACCTACTGTGTATGGAATACTCAACTAGGAATGGAAAGATTTAGAGAAAAGATCTATATTTTTGTCCAACAAGAGGGTACAATGTGGTCGTGAAGACCTGGAAAGAAGGTGACACAGCGCTGCTGACAGTGTTGGGTGAAAAGAGGCCAGCCAGACAACAGAAGTTCTGCTTTCTAAGAAGGTCCAGTTTGGCCACCAGTTCTCTGAGTTTGAGCAAGTGTCTCTAATGAATTAGATGTGGCTTCCCTTCTCTTTAAAATGAGGGGAGTAGACAAGAGCAGATCTTAATTTGGGGCCCATGGACTCCCTAGAGCAGTTGTCCTAAATCCTTAAAACCAAACACTCCCCTTTTATAATATGTCTAGGGTCCCCTTTACTATTCTCAAATGGAATTCATAAATACATAATATACCTATACACATAATTTAAAAATCAATATCGCTGGGCATGATGGTGCAAGACTGCAATCCCAGCAACTCAGGAAGCTGAGGCAGGAGGATCACAAATTCTAGGCCACCTTAACAACTTAGTGAGACCCTGTCTCAAAATAAAAAATAAAAAGGGCTGTGGATGCAACTCAGTGGTAGGACAACCCTGGGTTCAATATAATCTCCTATCTGTAATATTAGAGAAATAAAAAGAAACTAATTTCAAATATATATTTGCAATTGTACATATGTATGTGTGTGGTGTGTGTATTCATTTATATTATACATATAAATATATATATATATATATATATATATATATATATATATTTAATTTTTTCCCTGTAGTGGGGATTAAGCCCAGTGCTTCATGCATTTGAGGCAAGCACTCTACCACTCAGCTACACCCAGCCCTAGAATACATATATTTTTATTACATTAAATGAGGACAACTTATCTTCAGAACAGTACCTTTCCCATTGGGAACCACTGCCCCAGAGGATCTATGATGGACTCCAGGGAATTTGAAATTTGGTGCTTTAATCAGATTCTCAAGGGGGGGTCCTCAGATCCCAACAAAACTTGGGAAGCCCTAGTTTGAAAGATCTTCAATGGCTCCATGAGCTGTGAATAGATGACTAGTGTAAAAATGAACCATGCAGAATCTAGAGCTGCAGTGACTCCACTTCCCAAGGGCCTGTGCCTCTGATCAACCCCTTCCTTGTTTTTGAAGGCAGAATATCTTGCTAGGCAGAGCCATTTCAATGCTGCTTCTTGACCTAAGGAGATCAAAAGAACTTTCTTCCAGCGTGATAGATTCTAGTTGACAAGGCTGTGTCATACAGGGCAAAGAGAAAACTTCACTCATTTTTCCCCCTTGTTTGTTTGTTTTTGGACTAGTGATTGAACCCAGAGGCACTTCACCAATGAGCCACATCCCCAGCCCATTTTATTTTTTGAGTCAGGGTATCACTAAATTGCCTAGGACCTTGCTAATTAGCTAAAGCTAGCCTGGAATGCTCAATTCTCCTGCCTCAGCCTCGAAAATCACCAGGATTACAGGCATGTGCCATCATGCCTGGCAAAACTTCCCTCTTTATAGGACTGTAAGTCCTGTAAGACCTCTGGTCCAGAGAAAAAATGACATACTCACTTCATGCCAGGAAGGAGTGGGTGGTATGCCTACTTTTGGTCTAAATTATCATTTTATCCAGGGTCAGGAAAAGGGAAAGTAAAAGTCTTAGGATAAATACACAGGTTTTTCTTCTTGCTGGGAAAAGTGAGAAAAGACCAGCATAAGGAAGAGGTGGAACTAGTGTTTTTGTTTTTGTGCTTAGTTCTCTTGAAGGGGATGTTTGAAATGGAACAATTTTGAAAGAAACAGGGTTAGATTAAAAGCAGGTCTGTTCTATTGCCAAGGCTTGGAAGCTCTCTCTGCCAACTACATGCCCATTTTCTCTTCCCATTGAAAACCACTGCTAATAGGTCTTGACTATTATTTTATGAAACATTTTCCATCCCTTTATACGAATTATGTTTCCATAATAAACAGGCCATTTACACACATGGATGCACTCATAGGAATTATGTCTGAAAGACCCTGTCTCTAAGTAAAATATATAAAGGGCTGGGGATGTGGCTCAATAGTTAAATGCCACTGGGTTCAATCCCGGTACCAAAAAAAAAAAAAAACTCCATGATCTTCTCTTGAAGAATATTTGAGTATTCCCAATTTCTTATTATAAGCAGATATGCAGTGAGCACCCTTGTTTATTTATCTTTCTGCAGGATAAATTCCTGATTTACAAAGCTTGCACATTTTACCTATTGTCAGAAACTGAAAAGGGCTTGGCTTTCCAAGGCCCAAGTCAGGCAGGACAAAGAGGAATGTGAACTAGAGGAGAATTTAGCTCCAACCATTTTTTCACTATGTGACATAAGAGACCTCTTTTTTTTTTATCAGGTATAAAACAGGACTAATGCTGAATTCATGGAGTTGTGAACAACCCAGTGCTGTGACACATAAATAGCCATTAATACTATTATTACAACTACTACTGCTGCTATTAATTCTACTTTCCTTTTCAGAGCCCAATTCAAGCTCTACCTTGTCTTAAAAGACATGGTTATGTTGTACAGGGCCCTCTTCTTCCCAGATGTTATAGATGTGATTGTCTTTGTTACTCATCCGGCACTTAGCATGCTTTACACTCCACAAAGTCTTGTCAACTCAGCTAGACTAACTTTAAGAAGGTCAAAGACTATTGCGCATACTCCCTTCATCCCCATTACCTATCACACTGCATTGCTCAGTCAATTAAATATATATCAATCATTGTTCCTGAGCTTTCTATTAAAATCACCTGAATGTCTGTTTTTCTGCCTCCCCTCAGATGTCCTGCGGTTTGACAACACCTACAGCTTCATTCATGCCAAGAAGGTCAGTTTCACTGTGGAGGTCCTGCTTCCAGACAAAGCCTCAGAAGAGAAGATGAATCAGCTGGGGACAGTCACCCCCAAATAATGCCTCCTCCTACAGCAGGCCTGGCCCCCTCAGTGTCTCCCTGTTGGTTTCCTTGTAGCAGTCATTTCCCTGCGACCCTGCAGCTCAAAGAAACTGGGCTGAAGGGAAGATTTCAGGCTGGATCTGGGAGCTTTCATTTTAGAATCAGGAAGAGGGCAAGTAGCTAGAGTGGGTCTCCTTGCCTCTCAAATCACTAAGGAGTCCACAGGGGATGACCATCACAATAGGATCTGTTCTGTAAGCCTTGCCAACTTCACCTGCTCAGTGACAGCTAAGACAGAGAGAGGTTACCATGGGGATGGCAGCAGGGAAGAAATTAGAAAAGCGGGGGGACCTAACATTTCAGGGAAGCAATTGTAGGGGAGGAACTTGCTCCCAAATGAACATGGACCTTCAGATCATAACGAGGGACAGCAAGGTGGCTGGTTGCTACAGACTCCCTTCCAATTTTTTTTTTTTTTAAATCACTGAGGCTGGGGTATCTTTTGGCTTATCCCAATCTCAGGAGTGGCCAAGTCAACATAGAAGGTTGATAGGCAGGTCTTTCACTTTAAAAACCCCAGCAACTCCTGGGCCCCACTGGATGTCACTTTAATTACTAATGATTGTCAGTGACTCAGAGCTTCCTGGGTGGGACTTGGTACCCAGCCACTGTTCTCCAAGGTAAACAAAGCACAACGGCAATTACCTCTAGGGATCACAGCTGGTGGAAGGACCAAGGAGGCTTGGATTAGGATTGAGTCCTAAAAGGGGGGCCTTCCATTCACTTTTTTGAGTTCACCAAGTAACCCTCTGACAAATGATATGAATACAGTAGCACTCAGAGCATATTTTGGTCTGAGTCACCCACAGTGCCTGCCAACTGGCTTCCTGACTGACCTGAACAAGGTCTTGATAGTCCCATCTCTGTGGGAGGCGTGTAACGGGTGCAAAGTGGGTTCCTCGTGCCTGTGGATGTAGGTAGCCAGGGAGAGTTTGTCCGGGCAGGTCGCCAAAGGCCTGGCCAGCATCTCGCAAAACCAGGGACTGGGGACTGCCACGAAACCACAGCAATTCAACTGACACGTCCTGCGAAAAAACGCCAGATCCCGGGTTACTCAGAACTGGGGAAGGCAGACCCAGGCCCTTACGTCCGGGACCTCTTCTCCCGTGAACCCGAGCCCTGGTCCAACCTGGGGAGCTCGGGGCAGGGGCAGGGTTAGCGCTGACCAGAGGGGGCTGAGGCTGCACAGGCGAAGGTCAGATCGCTCAGGAGAACATCCTGGTCTTGGTTTACAAAGCTATTTTAGGAAGATTCATAGGTGAATAAAAGCATCATTGAGTGCACAGAGAGTGGAATTCAATGCCTACCGCTCGATTCCTCGCTGCCCTTATTTTGAGACCCGAAAGTCACTTAGGAACTACGTCCCACCCTTGAGCCGCAGGCGCAGAAACTCACTGCGACTGTACGCTCGCCAGAGCTTTTATGGGCGGTTCGACTAACAACTTGCCTCCTGATTGGTTCTTCCAATGGGCTGTCATCTGCCATCTTTACTCAGGGCCTTAGGGTGCTAGGGTCGATTTCACGGTTGAGGGCAGAGGCCCGGCCCCTTTGGGTGGCGTCAAAAGCGCCCGGTGTACGTGAGCTTAGACAAGTGCCAGTCCCGGCAGCGCTCGCTGCGCCTGCGAGGGACCCAAAGTGGTAGGGAGGTGGAGCAGGGGTGATCACGTGGTAATAGGGACCGTCTCCTAACTCCGCACCCGCACCCGCACCCGCACTGTCGGTGATTCAGGGACTGGAGACATTTCCGTCCCCACCCATAGCCTCGAACCAACTTCCCGAGATGTAACCGCTGACTGACTGCCTCACACTAACTTACAAGGATGCAGACGCCTAGGGCTGAAAACGGCGGCCTTCATAACGAGTTGATATTAATTTTCCCAGTATTTATTTGATGATAAAAGATGATTATTAATGAACATCTAGGCACCACGCCAAAATCCTCGTGCTTACTGACTTGAATTGTTGCAATGATTTAAGGGCTAAGCAAATGCAAAGCTCTTAGAAAAGAGCCCGGTACAAGTGAGCGCTCCGTAAATATTGGTTACTCTCATTTTTTATAGTTATGGGAACTGGGGCTCGGGGAGGCTAATGTGTGATAGACGGAACAATTGAGATTTTGACCCAGGACGGCTTGTTCCTAATGGCCTTGTGCTTGCCCCGAGGATTCACAGATTTTTAGTAAAGTGCACTCCTTGCTCACATGGTAAACAGATTCAGTAGGGGTTCCCCCTGTTGTAATCACTAGCCCCTAAGTTCTCTCCTGTTCTCATTTCCCTGAAGTTTTGTACCCCATCCTTGTTTCCCTTGTCTCAATCGTGCATTCATTCAACGTCCTGCCCCCCAAAAGGTTCAGTCTGGGTGCATAATGATCCAGTTAGTGCTTGATAGATAAACCTGGCACCTCCTGAGAGGGACTGCAGAATCGGGCATCCACCCTCTAGGCCACTCGCCATTCACTTCCTTCCCAAACCTCCTTTACTGAGCTCTCCTTAAGAGCATGGGATCTGAAGCCACACTGTCTAGATTTAAATCCCAGCTTCACTACTTGGCAGCTGTGTGTCCCAGGAAAGTGACCCACCTTCTTTGTGACTCTATTTCCTCTTCTGTAAAAGAGGATCATAGTTGGTGGGAGGGCTTAAGGAACTAAGCTGTTTAGAATCCTTAGCGAATGTCCCAGCTGGTAGTAAGGGGGTGCTGGGGTTGTAGCTCAGTGTTAGAGCACTTGCCTAGCATGTGTGAGGCCCTGGGTTAGATCCCCAGCATCACATAAAACTAAATAAAATAAAGCATTGTGTCTATCTACAACTAAAAATATTTTTTTAAAAATAAAAACAACGGTTATAATTAATCCCTGCAACCATCCTAGGGAGTGGATGCTAACGTTCCCCCTATTTTACAAATATTTTATAATATTTTACAAATATTTTATAAATAAGTAAGGCTCAGAGAAGTAGACTCTGGCCCAGGGTCACACACACAGCTATGTGTTCAATCTCCCTTTCAGAACCTCAGGTTCTTTGGCTCCAAAAGCTACAGTCAGTCCTGGGAGAGGTTTTTGCTAATTGCCCAGAGAAAAAGCAATCCATCTGCAAAATGGGAGTCTCTGAGAGGGGCTTGGGTATGCGGGGCAATTTGCAGACGCTCCCTGCCGGCGGAGACTGCCCAAACCGTCCTTCAGCCTAGGACCTTCGGCTGGTCCTGAAGTGGGAGACCCGAGTGTCTGTATAGGTGGAGGCGGAAGCATAGGCAGTGCCAATAGCAGTGGCCCGAGCCGCGGCGGATCGTCATGTCGGAGCCGCAGCGGCTGAGCGCAGAGCGTGACCTCTACCGGGACACGTGGGTTCGATACCTAGGTGAGCGCGGAGTGATTGACGTTGCGACCCTACCGCATGGCAGGGGAGCAGGGATTCCCAGGTGCCATTCTGGGGCCTGGAGGAGACGGGAGAGTATTTTAGTTCTCATTCTTCCTGGGCTAGGGACTTGCCCAAGGTCACACGACACTGATGGGTTCAGCTCTGCCCTGGGGGTCTCTGCTGGTCAGCCCTCCAGAAAGAAAACTCCAGCCGGATGAGTGGGTTGCCCTCTTTGGCATCCTGGAGCCCTAGCTGTGGAGTCAGGACATCTGTACTCCCATCTCGGCCCTGCCACTCAGTTGGTTCTATGTTAGCCTCAGTTTCCTCCTTGACAAAAATGGCTCAACATGAGGGCCTCTCTCATTGGGTGGTGGATGTAAGGGTGGAATGAGATAAAGCCCAGAAAGGCCTGGCACAGGGTGAGTATCTGGTCATTGGGGTTGCTCTTGATCAGTCTTTGGCTGTCTGTCACCTCATTAGTGCCCGCTTTCAGAACCAAGGCTAGGAAATCTAATCAGTGAGCCACGATAATTGTGGCTCTGCCCAATCTTCCCATCAGTGGGCCCTGGAGTTGAACTGGGAAACAGAGGTTTATACAGGTAGTCATTGCCTAAGGTCACCCTGCTGCAGAATAGGATTAGAACCAGTTCTTTCCAGCGCCCCCTGGTGGAACAGTCCACGGGTTTGAGAATTAAATGTCCCCTCCCTCCAGGTTATGCGAATGAGGTGGGGGAAGCTTTCCGCTCCCTGGTGCCAAAGGCTGTGGTGTGGCTGAGCTATGGTGTATCCAGCTCCTATGTGCTGGCGGATGCCATTGACAAAGGCAAGAAGGCCGGAGAGGTGGGTGTTAGCTTTCCTTCTCAACCCCCACCCCAGTGCACTCCAGGTGTGGGTGTGGCTCAGTCTACTGCTTTACAAGTGATAAAGTCCGTACTCCAGTCCTGTTTGTAGGAAAGTGCACCTCACTCCCGTACCTGGAGGTGGCAGTCTATACTCGACTCTTGGATGTGGACAAGGCCATCCTTAGTTCTGATTGTGGTATATAGGCCAGAATCTAAAACTAGAGCAGTTCCTTTGCCCTGATGCCTCCCCCCGACTGGTCACTTCCCCTCCTTGGTCCAGGCTCATGCTCCTTGTCTAACAGAATTTTTTTGCCTCTACCCCAGCTGGATTAAGTTTCTCTCTGCCCACCAGGTGCAGGGTCTTGAAGCAGGCCGCAGCACGAGGGTGACTGTGGCTGTGGTAGACACCTTTGTGTGGCAGGCTCTGGCTTCTGTGGCCATCCCAGGCTTCACTATCAACCGCGTGTGTGCTGCCTCTCTCTATGTCCTGGGCACTGCCACCCGCTGGCCCCTGACTGTCCGCAAGTGGACCACTACTGCAGTTGGGCTGCTGACCATCCCCTTCATCATCCACCCCATTGACAGGTGGGTGCTCTCTTGACCTCAGGGATCATCTCCTGTGTAGGTAGAATTAGGCTCTGAGAGGTATGGGACACAGAACAATGGCAGCAGAGGTAGGGTTGGCACTTAGGGCTCCTGAAATGGAAAGGACAATTTGTACCCTTTTCATATGATCTGGCAGGTACTCTTATGTTACCATGGACAGAAGCATAGAGACAAAGGCCTCAAGGAGCAGTGACTGCAGTGACTCCCAAAGGGAATTGGGACCTAAACCCCATCTACTTCTATAGAATCTGTTGTACTGAGCAGGAGTGGACCCTGGGTGTCTTGAGGGTATGGGACACAGGACAAGTAATTCCCAGGAAGAAAATGTAGTGTTTGTTACAAAACAACCAGGGGCAGGCAGAGTGGGCGTACTTGGAATGGTGGGTTTGGGAAGTTATTGGTGACAGAAGCCAGACTCATACTATGTAAGTTAAGTGAGGAAAACAGCCCAGGCTTGTTTGGCTTTCAGGCATGGCTGGATCTAGGCATCCACATGATGTCATTAGGAATCTGGATCTCTGAAGCTTAGTCTGTTTTCCTTCTCTCTGCCCCATCCTGCACCTTAGTGGCTTTGCTCATGGGAATAGAGATGGCCCCAAGCAGCTCCCAGTTTCCATCAGGCAGTTTACCAAGCCCCATCAGAAGTTTTTGAATAGTAATAACAAAAATCCTAACAAAGGCTGTCATTGGTCCATCCAGACTGAATGTCAACCTCTAAGCCAGCCTTTTTCTGATTGGCTGGGCTTAGATCATGTGACTGCTCTTAGAACTATAGATGGGTATTAATCCGAATGTAGAATGGGATAAGGAGTCTTTTCCTGGGGGAACATAACAGACCTTAAGGCCTGAAGTAAGTTCTTTACCTTCTCGGTGCCTCATTTTCCCCAGATGAATATAGAAAAGGAAAATGGGTATTATGCTGGGGGTTCAAATAGCCCAAGGTGTGAGGGGCAAGATAAGGTAGGTTTCCACCTGGATATCATTTGTGTCCTGTGTCTAGCAGTCCCTTCCCCTCACCCTGGCCTCCTGCCTCCTGTTCCCTCACACCTTGGCCACCTGCTCACCAACCTCACCCTTCTTACAGGTCAGTGGACTTCCTCCTGGACTCCAGCCTGCGCAAGCTCTACCCATCAGTGGGGAAGCCCAGCTCCTCCTGACCCCACCCCAGTGCCTGGCCTGTGGGTCAGCCCACTCCTGCTAGGGATGTGGACACCTGGTTCCCCAGGGTCCATGGCCCTGACACTGAGTAGGTTTGAGCTGGACGGAAGCTTAGAGACAAAGGCCTCAAGGAGCAGTGACTGCAGTGAGTCCCAAAGAGAGGTGGGACCTAAACCCCATTTGCTTCCATGGAATCTGTTGTACTGAGCAGGAGGGGACCCTGGGTGGGCCCAGCTCTATCTTTTGACAGGAAAATGGAAGATAAGGAGACTGAAGCCCAAAGAGGGCAAGGCAAGCTGGGCATAGGATTCTCTGCTGCCTAGC